CGTTGGAAGCCAGTCACTAGGTTCAGTCCACACACACACACTCTCTACCCAAGGGCCTGAATACCAGTGCTGGGGGTCACGGGAGGTCGTTTTAGGGGGGGCGCAGATCCAGGATCCAATGGGGACCGGTGCCCCCGAGGCCAGGCACCCACCCTCCACACCAAGCCGTCCATGAGCGAGGACAGAAGGGAGCCCAGGCAGCCATTTTCTGAGAAGTGCTCCGAGGCTGGGTCTGTGCTAAAGTGAAACAGGTCCAGTCCAGGGGCCATGGGCACCCGCTGAGTTTTGCCCTGTGGACTCACATATGCACGGAGCCTTTCCGCATCACCTACTCATTTAGTAAGTCCAGCGCACCCACTCTTTAATATCCAAAATCTACCCTGACCTGGGCCTCTGCCCACCTAGATCCCCTCCCCCAAGGCAACCAACACTGATTTCTTCTGTATCCTTCCAGTTATCTTATGCAAATTCAAAAGCACCGTGTATGTCGCTGTTTCTTCCTGCTCACAGGAACAGCGGAGTAAACACACTCGTCTGCATCTTGCCTGTCTTACTCCATCCTTGGCCATTGCTGCGTTCTAGCCCACGGCAAGCTCCTTCTGACGGTGGCACTGTCCACCGTGTGGCTGTGCCTCATGGATTTATTTCCCCAGTGTCCAGGGCCTGGACATCAAGGGTCTTCCCAGTTTTCTGCTTAATAAACTTGCATCAAATGCCGTTGCAGACACCACTTTGCACATCTGCCAAAGCTAGGGAGTGGGCTTGCTGGGTCAAAGTGACGGGTGTTTGCCATTCTTTTTTCAGGAATTTATTTTATTCGTCTTCTCAATAGGTATCTCAAAGTTCATAGGGAACAGAGGGTTTCAAGTGACAAATGTGTCTCCCTTATCACCCACCCGTAATGAGGAAACTGTCATTTCCTGATGGGTGGGTCTCCTTCAGAGATGCCATTATGAGCAAGAAACCCTTCTTCGGCCAAAGCTGTCTTTTCTTCCACAATGCCCATATTTTGGAGTGAAGCTACTTGCCAAAATGTTAGTTAAAATTGGAGGAAAAAACTTTGAGTGTAACTGTTCATGTTCAGAACATTTTTTTTTCTAACTGGCTCATCAGGCTTTGCTAGACACCATCATTGTCTAGCTTAATGTTTAATAAAAGGGATTTTTAACAAATTTCCATCTCCCTGTGTAGTCTGAGCTCCTGCCTTTCTAGCTGCTTTCTCCTGTTTGCTTTGATCCCTGTATTCAATGACAAGGCTGCTTTCAGATGTCTGGCAAGCCTGGCCTTTCTACTCTGATTAAACGAGGAGGGGCTACAGGAGTGTTGGCAGCAATGCCAGGGCGACTCGTCTTCTCTGAGGGGGACACGAGCAGGTCATTTCTTGGGAGCCCGAGGCCACTATCTTTAGATCTCTTCTCGAGCTGGACAGGCTCCCCAGGAGTGTCCTCCAATAAGCTCCTATGGAGACGGAGACCTAGTTGCCCCTAACATTGTGGGGGCGAGGGAAGGGCTTCCTTCGTGTGTTATCCAGGCCCTCCGTGCACAGAGCCCGCTGTCTGGCAGCAGATGAGGGAGAGCTAGGCTCAGCGGCTTCTCAAACCACCGCAGCCCACCCTGCTCAGCCAGGTCTGAGCCTTAGGAATTCTGTGGAGCACCGTGGACTGCTTCTCGGCTGTTCCACACTGGTTTAGGGTTTCACTCTCTTGGTTCTATTATTACCACCTGTCTACTGGCCTTCCAGCTTCCAAAATCGTGTTGCTTCAGTACTCCCCTCTCCTGTTTCGTTGGTTAAAATGTCATTTCTGTTTGTTTTCCTGGGGCGTGGGAGGCAATGAAATGAGATTCATGGATCCAGTCTGTCTCTCAGGCCAGACAGACCCTCCATATTATCCTCCACTCTGAAAAAAGTTCCTACATTTACATTTGATAAAAAAGCTCCGAGGCTTTCAACAGCCTTTATTTTAAAAGAAAACGTACACTCAAATATCACATTTGTCCCTCTGGAGTTTGCTCATTTCTGGCAATTTTGGAAAGCTGCAAAAGTCATGAAAATGTGATGACTAAAAAGTGGCTGCTGCAACGCAACGGTCCACGTGGCACAGACCCCACTTACCGGAGTCCAGGCTCGGCTCCTGTCGGTCAGGACGTTTTCAAATTCGAATCCTGGCTTTGAGACTTCCTCTGTGACGCCTGCTTCCTTAGTTTGCTTCACTTTTCTTAGAAGTAGGGTAACCCTGCCCCCTCCATTAGGTTGTTGATTGAAATGAGTTACACGCCAGTTACCAATTTACTGTCCCATGGCCCTACATTCATCCATCGTGACTCGCTCTGCCCCAACTAGATCTGGGCCCTGAAACAGCTTTGGCAAGCAGGGACCATGCTACGCTTGGTCAGAAGGCACCAGAGAGGCATCACAGGAAGACCCGGTTTTGCTATTGGTTCTGTTGCCCCAGGGCCCCAGGCTGCGCCACTGCCCGTGGTCCCAGGGCCAGGCCCCTGCAGAGCACGGTCGCCTATGGCACGCGGCAGCCACTGTCTTCCCCAGTGTCCCCTCGATGCTCTCGCTGCAGAGAGCCTCTGCTGAAATACTTCCTCATAAAGAGATTCCCCCATCGCCCTAAAAGGTGGATTTCCAGCAAGTTCAGCCTCCGCAGCACACAGCAAGTCCTCTGCCATGCAGTGAGCTGTGATCACGCCCTTCCCAACAAATTGGGGGTGGGGAGGGGATTCCTCTCGAGGTGCTGTCTCAGCCCTGGGTCACAGCTGTTTTTCCATCATTCCTAAATTCTGCTGTGTTCTCTACTTTGCACTAGCCAGTCCCTTACTGCCCAACCCTCTTTGGGTTGTACTTCTATTAAATTTTCCCTGTTCAAACTGTGTGGTGTCTTCTGATTAGATGCTGACTGATACCAGTCGATGCAAATACATCACTTAAACAGCGTTTGCAGTGGTCAGGCATTGTCCTGTGTTATTACCCAGGCCTTGCTTTGCTTACACGTCAAACTGGGAAGAGATCTGTGTAAAACAGGTTGTTTCATTGTCCATCTGAGCCGATGGTAGCTAGGATGCAGTGTGGATGGACCTGGGTTTCAACCTTGGCTCTGCCACGCAGTGTCTGGTCTTGACAATCTACCCTTGCCTCCAGTTTATTGCAACTACTCCAATAATGCTCGTGAAGCTCCTCAACTAGACAAACATTAGCCACCTTTACTGCAAAGAGGACACCCAGGGCTATAATTTGTCGTTATAGATGAGCTAAGGTTATTTAAGCCGAAGGGCTCCAGCCTGGACCCACACATCAGAATCAGAATTTATATGAAACAGAATCTCCAAGTAGGGCCTGAGACCCACTTTAAAGGAGCCCCAGAAGGAAACCTGAGAACTAAGAACTTCTGCGTTTGCCTTGTGATTCCACATGGAAGTGATCCCATGCAGTACTGGTCTCTCTGACTTCCCTCACTGAGCATGACACCCCCAAGGTCCATCCATGTTGTCACACAGGGCAGGACAGCCTTCTTTTTCACAGCCAAGTAATACCCCATCGTGTACGTATCTTCTCTACCTACCCATCCAAAGACTCTTAGGTTGTCCCCATGCCTTGGTTACTGTCAATAATGCTGCTACGAACATGGGCGTGAAGATACATCTTCAAGATGCTGGTTTTATTCCCTTTGGCTACACACCCCAAGTGGGATATTGTAGTTTTTAATTTTGTGAGGAGCCTCCAGTTTTCCATAGTGGCTGTACCAATTTACATTCCCACCAGCAGTGCATGAGGGTTCCTTTTCTCCATATCCTGGACAGCACTTCTTTTTAACAGCTATTCTCACAAGTCTGAGGTGATCTCAGTGTGGTTGATGTCTTCCCCTGAGATTAGTGAGCTTGGAAACCTTTTCATGTCTGTTAGCCATCTCTCTGTCCTCTTTGGAAAAATGTCTATTCAAGTCCTTTGCCCATGTTTTAATTTTTCTGCTATTCAACTGTGAGTCCCCTGTGTATTTTGGATATTAATCCCTTATCAGATATGTGGTTTGCAAATATTTCCTCTCATCCCATAGATTGCCCTTTCATTTTGTTGATTTCCATTGCTAAGCAGCTTTTGAGTCTGATGTAGTCCCACTTGCTTATTTTTGCTTTTGTTTGGTGTCAAATCTGAAAGAAATCATTGCCAAGACCCACGTCAAGCTCACCCGCTGTTTCCTTCTAGTTTTGCTATCAGTCTTACAGTGAAGTTTTTAATTCGTTTTGAGTTGATTTTTGTGTGTGGTGGAAGAGAGAGGCCATTTCATTTTTCTGCAAGTGGCTGTCCAGTTTTCCCAGCACGACTCAAGAGGCTGTCCTTTCCCACTGTAGATTCGTGGCTCCTTTGCTGAAAACTGACCATATAGGCCTGGGTTTATTCCTGGGCTCTCCGTTCTGTACTATTGATCTATGTGTCTGTTTTTATGCCAACAGCATACTGTTTTGATTACAGCTTTCTAAGAAAATATAGTTTGAAATCAGGACATACGATGCCTCCAGCTCTACCCTTTTTTTCAAGATTATTTTGGCTACAGGGGTCTTTGTGGTTTCATACAAATTTTAGGATTGTTTCTTCTCTTCCTGTAAAAAAATGCCATTGGAATTTTGATAGGAATTACACTGAATCTGTAGATCACATTTGGTACCATGGACATTTTCACAATATTAATTCTTCCAACCTATGAGCATGGAATACCTTTCCATTTATTTGTCTTCAATATACTTTATCCATGTCTTACAGTTTTCAGTGTATACACATTCCATGTAAGCTATTTAGGAATTGTTCGTTTTTGGTGTGAAGTTATTGAGGCTATTTTTAAAAAAGGGTCCTCATCTTTTGAAATATTAGATACAATTTATTTCAAAATAGTACAAATAGGTGGGGTGAGGAAATAAGAAGAGGTACTAATAGGAGTATATTAATAATTTGTGAAGGCTAGGTGACAGGGACATGAAGGTCCACCATACTATATTCTTTCTTTTTTTTTTTTTTTTGAAAGTTTGAAATTGTCTGTCTTGATGAGCTGTGTCCCTGCCCCCAGAACCCTGCCTGGCATACAGCAGGAACTTAGTGATTACCTGAAATAGTCCCATACCTCCTGTCAGGTCGATATCACCCACAGGCTCTCTCACAACAGTGCCCGAGGGAGCCCATTCGTACAGGAAATGCCCAAATTGCCAACTGTGCCCGCCCACCTGTCTCTGCAGTTGCAGCCTAACACCGCCCTCTGGAGGATAACAGGTGAGCCCACAGAGAAGCCCTTCATGCACTTTCATGCCAAACTACTCTTTCCTTAAGGGCCGGCTTCACATTAATATTCCTTTTACTACCTATGAATCCTTTAATGCTAACATTTCCGTTTACTCAAATAAGTCTGTTCCTTCTGCCTCACGAAGAATAAAACAAGTCATACACACATACACATTATCATTAGTAACTCTTTACTTAAGCGTTCCAAAGATCCCAAGCCCTATTTTAAAAATTAAAATTGCAAAGCACTCCATTCAATCAAAGCACATAAAACCCTCAAAATGAGTATCACGATTCATGATAGTTTTGTCTTACTCTGACAAAGTTTCTTTTACCCTTTATTACAAAGGCACAGAAGTCATCTGAGACCTCAGATGTTAACCTCACTGCATATTAACGTCGCACTGCTAGTGTGCAACTTAACACGAGATTATGAAGCTGACAGTACTGTCTCCCAACGACTCGTAAGGAGATACAAAGTCTTTCTATAAATAATAATTAAAAGAAAAACTGGGCTTTAAGACTGCGAGAGGCATAACAAAAGGGACCTGCAACTTTCTCTAAGGGCGGCTGTATTTCTGGATGGAAGTAAGACCTTACCTGGGAAAGTCCACCGCATATACCCGGCACACCGGCCCTGGCCTCACCAAAGAACAAAGTCAAATGAGCAACCGCTAGCAAGCTAAAAAATACTTTTCTGAAGCTCCATGTGAAAGCAGGACCGAGGTCATGCCGAGATGCTTCCTCATTCCGTCAGTAGCCACAGGTCAGGCGTTCTGGCTGTGGGTGCAGACGCCAAGGGGAGCCTCCGTGGTGCCGCCGCCCCAGGGCCGCCCTGGGTCTCCTCACCGGGGCGGCGCAGCCCCAGCTGGGTCGCTGAGGTCGCTGCCTGTGCTGGCGTCTGGGCTGGCGGCCTGCTCTGCAGCCTGGTGGGCACCCCCCTCGTCCTCCGGGGGCTCAGAGCTGGCTGCACTCTCATTGGTCAGAACAGTCCCGTCTTTCTTCTTCTCTGCCAACACCTCTAGCCCCATCATCCTGAGATAATGGAACCGTTCATTCTTGGGCACAAAAGTTCGAATTGAGGCCTTTCCCCGCCATCCACACAACACGATAGGACACTGCAGGGTATCTGGTTTCCTACAATGAAAATGGCTCCGTGTAAGTATTGCATCTAAGGAGGAATGCCATGCCGTCTCTCTGAAAGACCCACGGTGACACCATGGAAGGCGCGTCAGTCTGTGATCCCAGGGGGTTTTCTCCAAGGAAGGCCAGCTTCCTTCTTCACGTCCTGAGTATTACCCACACCCTCGGACTGGCCGTTTGTCCTTCTAAGAGCTCTCAGTGCGATGACCCCCAAGATTGCCCAACGCTTTCAATGTTAGAACTTCTACACTTTTCTCACACGTGAAGGCCTGTCTAGGACACCTCATCCCGCCGACCACCACACATCTCCGTCCCGTGGCTTCACTGCCCGTCCCAGTCCCTGCCTGTTCTTACAGATGACAGCCTGAGGCTCCCTGGAGGCCAGACCCGCCTCAGTCCTGAGCGGCAGTGCCGCAGGTTGGAATGCGGGGCTGGGACCCGGGACCGCCCATCCTTCCGAGACTCAGCGCGCCACAGTTTGGTCTCAATGCCCCTATTGCTTCTTGGTTACCCACCCACGTACAACAGGACCCCCTGGAAAGCACTGTACCCCACCATTTCCAGCACACACACAGTGGCCTCTGGGTCAGAGCATCCGGGCCTCCTGCAGTCCACTCGCAACCACCTGCTCGCAGGTGGCATCAACTCCCCTGTCCTCAACTGAGATGGTCACTGCTGTCTGTTTCTCAGTGCCGCTTACCAAGTACTATGCGTATCATTATTTACTATGCGTATCGCTGTTTAATTTCTTTCCGATGTGACTGGTCTCGTTTTTAGGCTCCTACAGGCCCTGTGTAATTAAACGTAAGTCCCAAACCTACTTCATGGCAGGCATCAGGGACAGAGGCTAAGGAAGGAACGGACACGGGGGGTTTAATTCTATTTTTTAAAAAACAAACAAGAAAAGAGAAGGGCCTAAATCAAGAGAAATAAACCACCAAAAAGAGAGAGAAATACAGCAGTATCTTTCCATTTTCCCTAGGTCAAAACATGGACAATAAGTTAATTAAAAACAAAAAAAACCCTGAGAGAAAAATACAAGAAATTCCCAAACTCCCGTTTTGATTTTCAGTGTGAAAGTTCCTGAGGCTGTCTTTTCGCCGGGGCACTTTAACCACTAGAAACTGTTTGTAGGGAAAAGGCAAATCCATGCTCTCTACGAAAATCACCCAGCGCCGTTCTTTAGAAACGCACTGCGCGGTCTGCCCGCAGGACCCCGTGAACCCAGCGCGCCCCGAGCTCCGCGCCCCGCTTTTCCCGTCAGGAGAGGCGGCCACCCCCGCCCTCCGAAGCCCCACGCGCTGTCAGCAAGCACGGCGGGCCGACCCCAGCACCGGCTCCGCCTGCACCGGCTCTGCACTCCGACCCCAGCACCGGGCCGGCGCGGTGCCTTCCTCAGCCCTTCGCTGGGCGCCATCTCTGTCCCCGCTGGGTCTCCGGAACCGCTCCCCCTTGGCTTCTGCAGTCTGCCCGCCCCCCCGCTGCTCCCATGTTCACTGGCTTCTCTAAAGGGCAAGCCCCTGCGGACCGCGCTCTTTCCCACGGTGTCCTCTTCCTCAGCTGCCACATCAGGCCTCATGGCTTTAAGCAGGACCTATCCGCTGGCGGACCCCAAACGCCTGCACCTGGAGCGCCCCCCGCCTCAGGCCCCACGCTTCTCCTACCCGCCTACCCGGGCCGACCTGATGGCCACGCCAGCACTTCAGACTCATTCGCGCTTCCCTCGTGTTTCAGGAGACGACGACTGCTCAACGCGGCCACCCGAAGCCACCTGAGGCTCCCGGCCCTTCCTTGCCCCCACCTGCCGCCCTAGCCCCGCCCCCGCACGCGCACGCGCACGCAGGCTGCTCCCGTCACTTACGTGGGGTCCGGCTCGTACTTCAGGACGATGCTCCCCTTGGCTGGAACAGAAACAGACAAGCGTTGGCCGAGCTTCCGGTCAGCGGACACCCTTGCTGAGCACGTCTATGTGCCCAGAATTGTGGGGAGAGAACAACGAATAATCTACACTTTGATCTGCAGAATCTCATGGAGAAAAGACTTTCTAAACACACGAGGCCACCAGTCAGCCAAGCCCCGAGTGGCGCAGTCAGGACAGTGTGGTTGGGGACAGTGTGGAAGAGGACCAGTCAGACCGCCAGGGGCTTCGGTGAAGCGACTCGGCAAGTCTCTCACACGCATGGAGGTGAGAACAAACTACTGGTTAATCCTCGAAAGTCAAGGTTAAATAATCGCTGCAACTCCCAGAAACTGCATGAAACAACACATTAAAAATGTCAAAATTTATACTGCCATCATCTAAACGTAGGAGTGTAAGAAAAAAACAAGTACAAACGGTTCCTTTATCCTTTAAAATAATCTATCACACTGCAGTTACACCTGAAGAGACAAGAGGAGACAGACTCAGCACAGCATGTTTCAGGCTCCTGAGGCCTCTAGGTTTACGCTTAAGACATACGATTATAAAACCGCAGTAACTGATTTGCTCAGTTTCCATCAAAATCATTCAGAAATATCGAACAACAAAAATAAACAAGAGTGAAGAGAAAAACAAAATTAGGCTCCTCAGTGGCTTCTTGTACTCTCAGGTGAAAGAGCACTGAGTGATCGGAAGTGGAGGTTCCTGAAATATAAAAGCGGCGATGTGACGGAGCGCCCATGTGGGCTGCCCAGCACGGCCTGGCAAATGCCGGCAGGACGGCATCTCCCAGTTGAATGGGACTGATCACAACGCCCAGCTAACTCCGTGCCCTGTGCTGTGATGTCCTCAGCCTCATGAAAGGCGGACCCGAGCCCCACGCTTTCTTCTGCTTCACGTGGGGCCTTCCCTGGCTGCCTGTCTGGTGGCGGGCGGGGGGCTTGGGGCTCTGGCTGGTGAGGTGGCCAGGCCCCAATCCTAGACCACACGGGGGGCTGGGCGGCACAGGGCCCCCAGCAGGGTGTGGGGAAGTCGGGCAGCCCCAGGGGTGCCCCTGACCCTCAGTACACTAAGGCATCAATGATGTTTCCACAAAGCCTTCTGGAAACTGACAGTCACAGAAAGCCACATGTACTAAGTATGAGCTCGAAAGGGACCCAGCAGAAGGGAACACCCCCATCTTTCCAAAGACAGTTAGCCTCTCAGCAAGTCACACCGCTTACCCATGTCCTTGGCTTGGCTGTAGGTCTCACTGCTAAGCTTTCTAAAAAATGGGTTTTCCTGGGTTAATAGAATTTTAACATCTTCCAACGGTACAGTAATAATTCTTGAATTGATGAATGGATACAATGTATATATTCCCTGTGGGAACAAGAGGCCACCATTACGAATGGAAATGACCACCCCCTTCCCAGTGTAAAGTGAGCAGCCGCTGCCCTCGGGGCCCGTCCCAGGGCCCTGTCTGGCCCTCCCCTCACCACAGTCCCCGGGGCAGGTGCGGTGCCCCTTGCCTCGAATCTATAGAAATGTAGAAAACGTAAGCAAACCGTCCCCCAGAGCAGGAAACCCGCCCTCAGGGAGTTCAGCCAGGCCAAGGGTGTTAAGCGCCAGCGAACTGAGTCACCCTGACCCATTGGGCTGGCTCAGAAATACACACTTGTGCCCCACTGTGTCCCACTCGCTCGTGGCCTGTGCCACCCATGTCTACTCCCCAAGTCACCTCCTGTGCTAGCCGGAAAGCACAATCAAACTCTTCCCCACTGTTATTCCGGCACCAGACTTTTATCCCGGTGTTAATAACCTGTAAGTGAAAAAACAGGATGAAACACACACAGTAATGTCAGAGTAATCGGTTACAACAATCCCTCCCCCACAAGGAGGCAGAGCTTCCAGGAGCTGCTGCAAAGAAGGAAGAGGAACAGGAAAGCTCTGAAGTCGTCTGAGTAAAACGGGTTTCACAGGGGTTCTCACGGCCCAACTGACCCTCTCCAATGGCTCTGGGTTATGTGGCTTATACTGACGAACAACCACAAGAGACACTGAAACGAGGACACCCTGAAAACACAAGATGTGACACATTCCACGGGCCATCAGAGCAAAGATGCTGTCGCCATGGACAGCCCAGTGAACACGTAAGGCTGGAGCATGAACAAAGGCAGCAAATGTCCTCGGACTGTTCTGAGGACATGCTGACCCTGCGACCTGCAGCCTACACTTGGGGACGCAAAGCCGTAAATACACAGGCAAAGGGCAACCTGAATTGGGAAAGCAGTCAAGCAAGTGAAAACGGGCCCCACGCAGGCAAACACTATGGAACGTGAAACAAGTAACGGCAGAGGCACAGGAGCCAGGCAGACCCTGCAACCCCGTGCACCTTCCTCCCGGGACACACGGTGCGGAACGGAAGGGATGCAGGCCGTGCCAGCACACGCCGGGCTCGGGGCCCTCGGCCCATCATGGACGAGAGGAGCCGGCGGCAGGACCAGCTCCTGCCACAGGGAGCCTGGGCAGGTGTCCTCCGTGACGCACCCGTCCACACCCGTGGCACACGCACCTTCATCCTCTCGCTGTTGTTCAGAAGCACGTTCCTCAGCTCCTTGGAGACCATGTACAGCTGCCTTTTCTTCCCTTCTGTGGTTCGAGTTAGCAAGTTCCTCCTCGGGAACGAAGGATCCAGAGCATAAAACTTCCTATAAACAAAGCAGGGCTGTTTACAAGAGCAGAGTTCCAAATTCCACAGACTGGCTGTCTCTAAGCGTCCTTCTCTCCCCCAACAGAGCTGGTGGCTTGAGGGCCCATGAGCTCCGCCGTGGACTCGTCTCCAGCCGTAACCCGCCTCAGCTGGGCCTCCAGCCCACAGCGCTACTCCAACAGCGACGGCTGCTCCCCCTGAACTGCTGCTCCACTGACGAGGACCCACGAACACACTGCTTTGGAGACATTTCACCGGGGATTTTTACTCACGCGTGCAAAGGACCAGCTGCCCGCCAGACAACGTAAGTGACCACGTTGGTAAATATACTCATAAACTTACTGAATAAGGAGAGAGCCTGACCCTGTGACCGTCAGCACCTTTCCTCTCTGTTCCGCCTGGAAGCCCACGGAGGCCCCACCTCCCACCCAGACCTGCTAGTCCTCGTCTGCTGCCTCGGGACCCAGCAAGGCAGCCTTGGCCACTGAGGTCGTAACTCATCGACTAATTTATCTTTGGGGTCACTGTCCAAAGTTCTTCACCTCTCTATCGTCTGTACCTGAGGGCAGCATACTTTCTCTGACTGCTCACCTTCAAGCGTTCAGTAAGCACCCTGTAAAGTTTCATCCAGCTCTAATATGCTAAATGAAAAACTAGGGTTAAATGTGACTGGTTATGCATTTATAACCCCAGTAAATGTCTTTAAATGAAGAATTAAAAGAATGACTTAATCCTTACTGGATAGGTGAAAATAATGGGTCGTCTTCAGGAATAAACACAAATGGATCTTCTTTAAATCCAAATAACTTCATCTTCTTCGATGGAGGAGGACTAAGAAGGAGATGGATGCGGTTAGTCGGTCTGGAACCTGGGTACCAAAGCTGACTCCCAACAGCACATTCCCCCTTCCCGCCTCCGCCTCCCCGCTGTGCAGCTCGGGCTTTTGCAAACGCAGAGCTGGGCTCTACCTGCAGGCGGCAACCCGCACACACAGCTCAGCTCATCAGCACTGAACCGCAACTACGCAGGAAGGACAGCCCTGTCCCGCCCGGCCCCACGGCAGGGAAGGCTCCGGGACCCGTCAGTCCGCACGCTGGGGAGAACTAGAATGTGGGGCTCAAGGCAGAACACTGTTTCTTACCCACACACGCCATCTTTCTTATTTCCATTATTCTCTAAATCCTCCGTTCTTTCAGCTACTTCTGTGTCGCCCATTCCAGTGACTGGTTTCCCGTCCAGCTCGGAGGGACCGGCAGGGCTGGGCTGCACAGGCTCTCTCGGCTCCGCAGTGTCCCTCTGCAGCTGTCACAGGGAACAAGTCTGTTTACACTCAAAGCTCGACTAGCTTTGCACTGCTACAAATAACTAAACACCGAGCTCACAGAATCCATCTGAGCTGTTTTCCACAGCGCTTTCTATATAAAAGGCAACAGAACTTTTTAAACCAAGTACTTTAAATCTATTTGCTATTATAAACAATTCACAAACATGACTTCTTGGAGGTGAAAATCAATTCCACGTTAACCCCATAAAGAGCACAGGCAGCCCATTCCCTAGTAGAGCCAACACCACCAGCTCGTCTCCATTTGAAACGCTGCTTGCCAGCTGCTCTGCGTGAGGCACACTGAGTGACACAAACGTGTCAATGCCATCACTAAAATATTAAGACAAGCACACAACTAACTGCAACACAAGCAAGGGCAGTAGAGGGGCCAGCCGAGTGGCTCAGTTGGTTAAGAGCTCGCTCAAGAGTGCGAGCTCTGAGCAACAGCGGTTTGAGGCCCGGTCTGAGCTGAGCTGCTGCTGAGCTGCTGCTGAGCTGCCAACAGGTGGCAGGATGGCTCAGCTAAAAAAAAAAAGGGCAGTGGAAACAGGAAGAGTCCACCTCCAGGGACCCAGGAAACGCCTGCTGCGTCCCGAGTTTCGGAACTGCGGCGGTAGCATCAACTTGGTTTTGAGAATGAGAAAAAGGTTTTACTTATGTTAAAATGGTGAAGAGTATCTTACATGAAAATCTTATATAAAAGTTATTTATAAGCATGTGTCCTAACAAGTCACAAGCTTGGTAAAAGTGCTAACTGCCAGTCCCCGTGAAGACATGCGCACAAAAGTTAACCGTGTCCCCGAGTTCACAAAGCAGTAAGAGTGTGGGGCTGTCAATGCTACACAACACTGCCTCCCAGAGAGCAGCTTATTTCAAGGTAAAAAAAAAGCAAAAACGAAACCACCACCACCAACCTCCTGACGAGCCTAGTGCCCCCCCCCCCCCCCCCGTGCTTCTGGAAACGCTGCTTCTTTTTCAGAACCCGTCCCAAGCGCCCTTCTCCACAAAGCCTTTCTATTCCATCTCAGCGACCTGCTGTTGCCTCCCTCCAAACACCAACAGCCCGTGGCAGTGGGGCTCTCCCTGACTCCAACTCTAGATCAGCATCTAACGCCTTCCCTTCAACGACGTGCCGGGTCCCCAAGACGAAGAACCCGAGTTATCAGCGTGGCCCCAGCAGAGCCAAGCACAGTCACCCGAAACATGCGTCCTCAACAAAACGAACAGGAACCGACAGAGTAAGAAAAGGGAAGAAGTAATAATAGCGAGATGACACCATATCAGAGGAGGTAGGCTGAAGGAAAAGTCCAAAACTCATGGACGTAAGTTAAGCACCTACGTAGCCAGCTATGTGAGAAAATGTCAATGCAGCCCCAAATGCAAGTAAACCTAGCATGCACTTATGTGTAACAGGCTCTAGACCTGTGTGTGTGGCACAGGGGCCACAGGCCACATGTGCTTTACGACCACTGCAAACGTGACCGGTGTCACTTACACAGAAGGTGCATCTTAGAGTGTAAAGAGCACACTATTTTACAACACTTACTATGACAGCATATAAAACGCCTTATTAATAACCTCCCATTTTCATTATATGGAAATGACACTTAAATATACTGGGATAAATAAAACATTATTAAAATTCATTTCACTCTTTTCATGTTTACTTTAATTTAAACATGGCTCAAGGAAACTGGTCACAGGTGGTGACACTGCATGGAGCGTGCACAGCGCTCCTACTCCTGCCAGGGACTTGGGGACTGAGTGGCGTCCAGAAACCCAGGGACTCGTCCCGTCAGGGCAATGACCTGGAGCCTCACCGCCGCCGTGGTGCCTGCCCGGCGTGTGCATGTGAGGCTCGCTCCATGTTGGTCTGGGCTGGCCAGATCCCAGAAAACTGTCTCCTTCCTGTTTCTGCAAAGCCTAAGCACCATCTGTGCTCACTTTTAAGCTTGGATCTGACGGAAATACAGGCCTTCAGACTGCGACTCCACACCATGGTCTGTGATTATGGAAGGCCTACGCAGAGACTAACCAGTGCCCAGTTGACAGAGAGGACAGCACATTAAACCGCAACTTTGTGTCAAGACTCCCAAGGCGGCCCTTTCCCAACCAGGGACCCAGGAGGCATTTCACTGCTTCCAGCGCGTCAGGCCCTACACGTTTCCTTTTCAGCCAGGCCTGGACAAAGTCTGTCCCGGCCAAGGTGAAGGTGGGCTGGCTGGAGGTCAGCAGAGTTCTGTCGACCTGAAAGAGGCTGAACTGAACACAGGGAATGAGAGCTCAGAGCCAGCTGAAGGATGGGGGTGGTATTCTGACGTTGGCCACAGGGTGCTCTTTAAATCTTTTCAGTTTTTATTAAAGAATTAGATTTAAGATGTAGAAGAAATGCACTCCCCAAAGTCTGCCTTTTCCACCTACCTATCCCTTACAAGAAATTGCTTTTGGTTTGGCAACCTCAGAATCTGAAAGAACCCCACCCGCCATGTTCAGGCTCAGCCACCTTCCAACCCCCAACAGCATTCCACTGACCTCCGTCAGCTCCTGCCTTAAACGCACAGAGATCACATGGCATGCACTGTTATTTTGGAAGACATTTACCTTTGGTGGACGTTTATTCCACGGCATTGAAGACTTTTTCACTAACACTGCCACAAAGAACCCTCCAGTATTTTGATGATGTGGTAATATTCTAAGACTAAAAAAAACATAATTCTCACTTTTTAACAGATCCAGAATACATTGTTTTAGTATCAAATATTAAGACAAATACTGTAAAGATGACCTGTGACAGAAAAGGCATGCCTTGTTGGAAATATCCACAACCCTCGCTCACGGAATGGTCAACGTGTAATGTGTAAGTTAATTCGGTACCCAGTGTATTACCACTGAGGTTCTAGCCACGTTCATGATTCACAAAAGGCTTGAAGCCAGCAGCTATCAGGTACAGAGGAGTTGTTCTGCGCTGGGAAGTTCACATACCTGAGGCTGGCCACGGGCGCGCCCAGGCCTCGCAGCAATGCCCGAGGGCCCAGCCCCACCACCACCCCAGACGGAGGGCCCCACGAACTCACCACCGCTCCAGGTGCATGGCCTGTAGCTTTTCCGGGTCCTTGGGTGGGAACATGGTCGGCCGAATCTGAGTATGTCTGCTGTGGGGAACCTCATCCCACTCTGCAAACCAATGTCCATCTTTTGTCATTACCTGCAAAACGAGGATGGGTTCCCAAATCACCTGCTCTACCTCATTGTAAGAAAAACTACAGGGAGCCGGGGACACGCTCTCCAACCTGACCAATGGCCATTCCCATTTCCCTCCAAAGCTAGGGAGGCTACTTGCAAAGATAAAAATGAGGTAATCTTTTATTACATAAAACAGGACAATCATTTTATAAAAAAGCATTTTCCATGTGGGATTAAAAAAAAAAAACACAAGCCTCAGACTGTTTCTGGTTTAAAACTGAAAAGTTCAATGTTTCATACTGGACATGAAGCTTGAGTTCTAGTCAATAATAATAAAAAAGAAGTACTAGAGGCCGGCCGAGTGGCTCAGTTGGTTAAGAGCTCGCTCAAGAGTTTGAGCTCTGAGCAACAGCGGTTCAATGCCCGGCACGAGCTGAGCTGCCAACAAGGTGGCAGGATGGCTCAGCTAAAAAATAAAAAAATAAATAAAAAATAAAGAAGTACTTATGGGGATGAGAATAAACAAAGTTATTTCTAATTGGAGAATAAAGGCAGAAAAACTTTCCCACTGCCAGAGAAAAATATTTCTATAATCACAAATTTATTATGTATAATTTTGAAACTGATTCTAAACTGTATAACGAAACACAGTATTATTCAAGATACTCAAGCGTGGCTGTTTTAAAACTTGCCCGACTATGACAAGCCGCCTAAGTTGCGCCTGCTCCTTTGAGCCAGACCCTCACAGAAAGGCTACCTTCCAGTGTGTGAGTCCAGGCATCCATTTCAGTCCCGGCAATTCAGACGACACATCAGCCAGCTCCAAAGCACCTATGTATCAAAAAAAAAAAAAAATGTTTTCACATTGTGCCCAGTTCAAGAACCCAGATGCAAAAGATCACGTATTGGCTGCATGATTCTATGTACAGGAAATGTCCAGGGAAGGCAAAACCACAAACACAAAGCACATTAATGACTCCTGCATGAGGTGCTAATGGAGTGACTGCACACGGGTGGGGGGGGGGCCCTCTGCCTGGGGTGATGGGAATGGTCTAAAATTGGACTGAGGTGAGGGCTATGATGCAATTCAGTAAATTTGGTAACGATCGCTGAATTGTTCACTTAGAACGAGTGCATGTTACGGTATGTAAATCAGAAGAGCTCCATAAAGCTGCTCGTTCAAATAGGAAGAAGCTGCGAGTCCCAGGACGCACCCAAGACTGACTCCATAGCCAAGGCCACCCCAGGGGCTCGCAGCCTGTGGTCCACTCCTGCTTTCCAGGCACACACCAGTCAGATGATGTGGGTTTTCATGCCTTTATGTCTAACAAACATTCCAGAGCTGAAACACAACATCTAAAGTGAACTGTGGCAAGTTTAACACATTCAATTTTAGGCCCAAGTCAGAAGTCAGTTGTCTAAAACTGCCCATCAGGGCACCAATTTGAAAACCACAGTGTCTACAGCAGCAGTGAGATGGGGCTGGGAAACCTCCACATGAACGGACTCCGATGCACATTTGGCAGCCTCAGAGGAGGACCCGCCATCAAGGCCCCGGGGGCCAGGAAAACTCAGGACAATTACAAAAGCAAGGCCAGATCTCTCCCCAGGGGCATCGAGCTGTGCGACACCTGTGACAAAAGCATGGCCCTGCCTTCCACTAGTGTATGAGAAGCCTTTCTTTTCGATGTGTGACTCAACAATAGTGCAGGTTCAAGGAAACTTCTCAAACGCCATCCAGCGCTCAGCAGTGCCCTCCTACCAGCACTTGGGTCAGAAGCCGCCAACGCTGGCCCAGCGGGTGTAGACTGAATGTTTACCGACGGCTCTCCTCCAGCTAAGTGTCTGGGCACTTTCAGGCGGGGACCACAGTCGCCAGCACCGTCAAGTACAGAGCCCAGTGACGGTCTACTGTCGGATGGGGCCACGCCTACAAGTGTGGCCTGAAACAACCACGTGCCAGTGGTGACTGAGAGTGAAGCCTACACTGCAGTCCACCTGCCCGGGAAGAAAACAGGTTCCGTGCAGGACACCCCGAGCTAATTTACTATTAAATTTCATCACCCACAATCCTTCTCTTCATCTGCCATTTGAAATAAAGCACCAAGAATGTGAAGATTATGACCACGCAAAGAACAGCACTCAGAAACCACATCCTTCCATAGGCCAACAAAAACCAAAGAGCAAAAACAGAATAAACACGACACACTCACTTCAGGTCTAACGGTGAACAGGGAGGCCTGGCCCACAGCACCGACCCATCAGCCACTGAGAACCTACTGTGGATACCAACGCAGGAAACACATAAACTCGTTTCAGTGTTCATGTTTCCACTAATGTCACACACACACGTGTAGTAAATTCGGTAGCACTCTATTCTGGAAGTTTGAAATTGCTCATTGTTTGCTTTAAGAAGATGATAGGAAATATTATCACTTCAGTGAAAACATAAAAGATGACTATTTCACAGCAGAACATTACGGAAGTTGCTGTTTCAGACGTTTCCGAGTCTGCCATCCCTCAGTATGAAGCAGTGCCCTAAGACCTCACACCCATAGGAGGGCCATTGTCAAAACCACGGAAAAGAACAGGTGCAGGTGAGGATGTGGACACCTGGACACCCTGTGCACCGCTGGGGGGAACGTACAATGGTGCAGCTGCGCGGGAGAGAGCATGCAGGGTCCTGAAGCACAGACCTGCCCTGCTGGCCAGCAATCCCACTTCTGCGTACATGTCCAGAAAAACTGAACGCAGGGCTCAACGGGTTACGTGTACAGCCACGGTCACGGCAGCACTATTCACGAGAGCTAAGATGAAGAAGCAACCCAAGTGTCCATGACCAGTGGCCGGAACACACACACAATGGACTATTATTCAGCCTGAAAAGGAAGGAAAGCGACGCATGCTACCACATGCATAAACCCTGAGAACATCAGCCCAGAGAAATAAGTCAGGCACAAATCGACCAACGCCGTGACGCGCTCACACAAGGTACCAAGAGTGGTCACCCTCGCAGAGACAGAACCCAACCCTGGGGAGGGGATTCTGGGAGTAACTGAGCGGGTTCAGGATTTCAGATCTGCAAGATGAAGCGCTCTGGAGGCTGGCGATGCAACAATGTGAACGCACTTAACACTGCACGCGCTTAACGCTACTGGAGTGCATGCTTAAATATAGTTAAGATAGTAAATGTTATGTGTTTTACCACAATTACATTTTTTTTTTAAGTGGGATGAGGATTGGACGTAACCTTTCACACTTAGGTAAACAAAATGGGCAGCCTCATAATTCAAGCAATATGACAAACCTGTAATACAGTGTATTTTCAGTAGGGATAGCTCGTTTTAGGGTTTGCAGGCTAATCACATGAACAAATGCCCAGAAGGCCCACAGGAATAGACACCATAGCAATAAAAAAAAGCTTGTGAAAACTGCGTACTTTTACTGAGAGACTCACGAAGCAGACTTACCCTCACTCTTCTCCAGTAAAGATGCAATGACCGCTTCATCTTCAACAGGGTTCAGGGAACACGTGGAATACACCATCCGCCCGCCTTCCACGAGCTGTTCTGCACCCCGCGTTGCAATCCGCAGCTGTAAGCTAAGGGTGGGATATACTAGGTCACAGACAGACAGCACATCCTTTATCAGCACCTATCATGTCACATTTGTTACAAGTGTTTATGACGGACTTACAATAAGATACAAAATACTCCAGGTAAAGTGAACCATTCCCATAAAAAACAAAAACCTAAACTTTTTCAGTGAAGTTAAAATAAACCTACATAAGTGCTTCATGTAAAAAAAAAAGCATTTACGTTGGCTGTCTGTGCACCTTTCCCAACATATCAACACATAAAGCACAAAACTCAAAATATTAGGCGAATTTCATTATTAAAAAGCCTCCATACTTGGCCAAATATTTGACTTTTCTTCCTATGAACGATCTTTATCCCTCAGTACGTCCTAATCCTGCCTGTTTCACAAAAATGTTAAGTATTTAAGAAAAACAAAGCTCTTGCTAGAGTCACCAGTGGTTAATATTCATTCCTACACTTAGGTCATCTACAGCTCTACACTTAAAAACATGTAATTTTAAAGTTAAGTGAAAAAAATAGGGAGTTCTGTACACTGTAGAATCAGAACTGTTCAAAACATGTAATTTAAAAATCCTCAGGCACAGAAAACCACAATTCACTAGACATTACAGAAGTTATCTTTGATTTAAGAGATTTTTTTTCCTTTTAAGAATTTTCCAAATTTTCTTTCACGGCAAAAAACGTTTGAGATCAAAACGTTAAACAAAATACTTCAACACAAAACAGAAAACTGGAGAAAGACTGGTAAGGGAGTAAGGTAAATGGCCATGTCATGAAAAATACATGTTTGAAGTGTCACTGGAAATTTTTATAAAAGGCATTGTTGATAAATGTATATGTGAAATGTTTACAATCTTCAGTTTGCTACTCTTCAAAATTCTAAAACCAACCACCTGTGGTAAGTACGCAAACTCCCGTGGACGGTGAAGGCGGCCATTAGCATTAGTGCTTAGGTCCAGCCGTTCGGCCGTCCCGGAAGCTGAGCTGGGCAGCCCCGGGGAAGTGGCCCCAGCCTGCCCGCCGGCCCCGTGCTCACTCACCCATGCAGCTGCAAGCTGTGTGAGGGGCTCCACTTCTTCCAGACGTCAATGTTCTTCCTCATGGTGCCATCTCCACTGGAAGGGGAGATATTTAAGAACTTAAAACTCTCTACAGATAAATGGTTCGTTTAAAAACATGTATTCAAGCTAAATTACAAAACAGGTGTTATAAATTCAACTTTTTAATGAAACTTCAATTTTCAATTCAGTAAGGAAAGGCAGACTTGAAAAGGAAACCTCAGTCAACACTTCGAGACGGCAATTTGCTTCCACTGGAGGAAAGAACCAGCAAAACAAAATTTTAGACCCAGGAGAGACACAACAATGAACACGTATAAGATGTTTTGATCTTGCTACTCAGAAACTTGGTTAATTCAACAGTGGCATTTTAATCAGAATTACGTGTACATGAATAATGACAAACTTATAAAGGACTTCCCACAGCAAATTTAATTAAGCCAATTTAATTTCTTTACCAAGATTTTCCCATGTATCGGTTAAATATTCTTATTTTCTGCTTTTATTTAATGGATATTTTTTCCATGTAAATTTCAGAACGCACACTTGCTCCACGAATATTTCTGTCCACGTCTAATTTTAGCTCCCAGTTTTTCAGGGGTAATTCCTGCGTCTGTTGACTTTTTCTATGAAGTTTAATTTTCCTTGCTGGTCTAGTCACATATCCTTGAGGTGACAAGTACAGGATGGAAATGTTCTGTTAGGATGCTTTTCAGATGATGTCGCTCACTTGTATGGTAATGTAATTTCAGAGGTTTCCTCAGCTCTCTCTTAGGGCTTGCTCATTAGGTCCCCTCATTTCACAGTGTGAGACAGGTTATTACACTGCTGATGGAAAGAACATGGGGTAGGAAACAGCTGATCCAAAGGAAAATGAGAAAACTGCAAACCAGAAGAGCAGGAATGTAATTCATGCCTGATTTGAAATTTTACTTTGAAGGGGAATTCTTCCAGGTACTTAGGCTCGGCCACATTCACACTCCCAGCTAATTTTCAGCCTTCCGCCACCAGCGGGAAACACACCACTTGAACAGCATGAATTTAACATGGATGTATCATAAACACAGTGTTTACTACTAACAAAGTTTTGTGGTAGTTTTTGCACTCTAGTTTCCACAAACTCCTGAGTTTGGAATGTATTACAGCCTTGTGAAAATTGCCCACGTCACTGCCTGTGGACACTTAACAGCCATCTTTCATCTGATTTGTTTCTTTTTGGAAAAACTCGGTTATTCCATGAAATTCTTTTAAAGATAAACTCTAGAAGTCTAAAATGTGCATGTAAAATTTGAAGACAATCACGTGAACAAATACAGGTAAAAGGCGTTTCTCAAAGGTTTGCAGTCCTATTTTCATTGGCTAATGACGTTTAAGAGTCATCATAAAAACCCAATGTGACTATGGCTTATTCTATGACGGTGTTTTACACCCTTGCTGAAGTGCCAACAGAAACACTTGGGTGAGGAAATCCCCCAAGCAACAGCATCCTGGCACGCACCAGTGGGAGTTTAGGATGTTCTTTCCTCTCGGGCGTTTCCTTGCACCTCCTTTTGGGCTATTCACCGAGGCGCGCCTCTCTCTGTCTGTTCTGCACCCTCACTCTGCTGTGCTGCGCTGTGCCATGTGTCACTGAAACCCTGAGTGTCTCCTCGGACTGTGGCCCCCACGTCTCTCTTCATCCCGGTCGCCAGGAGACGCAGATGCATAGCCACGTTTGTGTGCAGCTCACTGGTCTGTACGTGACTTATTTCCTTGGTGCATTCTGGGCGTTCTGGCCACTTGAGAATACAGGTACCTGCAAGGGACGTCACACAGGATGCGGTCGTAGAACAGGATCTCCTTCCTCCCGTTCACGTCTACCCGGAGTCTCGGGATGCTGGACGCGTCGTGGTTGACCACCATGATGCAGGGGCTGCTCAACCTCTTGGCCTGATGCACGAGCAGATAGCAGCGCTTGTTGTCCACGTCATTTGCGATGACGAATCCCTCTGGGAACATTAAGTTATAGTGTCAGGGGACATGTGGCACAAGTAGGGCAACTTCCTGACACAAGTAACCTCTAGGCTGTCAGGTGAGAGTGATATCCACCCAACCTGAATCCCGAACATAAGGTTTGCCAGGACGAAGTAGGTGGCAGAAAACAAGGAGTCGCTGGGAGGTTCTGAGCTGCACTGCTGGCTACGGACCACTGCCGGGACGTTCCCCGGGTGCCACGTCCTCCCCTGGCTACGGACCGCTGCCGGGACGTTCCCCGGGTGCCACATCCTCCCCTGGCTAAGGACCGCTGCCGGGACGTTCCCCGGGTGCCACGTCCTCCCCTGGCTACGGACCGCTGCCGGGACGTTCCCCGGGTGCCACGTCCTCCCCTGGCTACGGACAGCTGCCGGGACGTTCCCCGGGTGCCACATCCTCCCCTGGCTAAGGACCACTGCCGGGACGTTCCCCGGGTGCCACCCTCTTCTTCTGGTTTCTCTCTCACCTCCAGCAAAAAGGCAAATATGCCTAGTAACATCTTATGATCAATATCTCTCTTTTAAAACAACATGAAACGTAAAACATTGCTGGTAAGAGAGGCTCATTACTACCAACTTGGAGAAAATAAGAATCCTTTTTAGCAAAGATATTTATCACAGAAAAGGGGCCTTTTAATAAACACGACTAACACGCATGCCAGTGAAAACAGAACTACAGCGGCTGGCTTACACGGAGGAAGCCGGAGGTGCTAAAGGTGATGCAATTATTAAAAGGCTAGCAAACACTATGAACAGTACTTCCCACTTTTTTTTTAAATCCCCAGAAAGGCGCATCAGTGACACTGCTCTTCTCTGAGCACTTTGCAATCTTGTGTAACATCCCCCAAGTTCAGAACTGATGTCTCATTTCATATGTGACATCTAGTAACATCACCAACTCGCCTCGTATATGGTGGTGGGACATGACCTTAAGGAGTCCAACCTCAGCTCGTAATCACTCCACTCCACTGCCTCTCACCAAGACAGTAAGTCATCAAAACAGCCACAAAACCCCACAATGTGGACTGTGACTACCAAAAATTCAAAAGGAAACCGAAATCCACTCTGGCTTAATAAAGGCCATTTGTTGTTAGAGAAAACCCACAAAATCTCCGCTAACTAAAGGCCCCTTGCTGCCCCGTGTGCTGGTTAGGGACCCAATGACGGCAGTGTGCAAACTGCCCAGCTCTACTCTCAGAGGCGCAGGTCACGTTCTAACGGCTCCCTCATCGACAGTCACCAAAGCAGCGTCCAGGGCCTACCTGGAAAAGGGACGTTCATGTCGGCGTGCAGCATTTCAATCAACTGTGCGGTCTTTGATCCGGGGGCTGCACACATGTCTAAGATCTGATAAACAGCAATAAATACATGGTATTTTTATTTTAAGAACGCAAACATTCTACATTTAATTAAAACAATTTATGAGTTATTCTAGTATTTGATTTCGATTCCAAGCCCTAAATATATTACGGGATGAATCAACAACATGATGCATTTAACTGATAGGGATCTCATCGTGTAGAAGGCCCCAAACCACAGTGAGAAAGCCACTCTCTCCACAGAGGATGGGAACAGGTGGCACTAGAAGCCAGTGAAAGTGACACATTTAGAGACAAATGAAAAGATACTAAATGCAAGAAGCACTGTAACACACTGCCGAGGACAGAGCTACCTGGGCTCCAAATCTCAGCTCAGCCACTGCCTAGCCCTGCGACCTTGGGCCAGTTACTTCAACTTTTCTCTGCCTCCATTTCCTCATTTGGAAACATGGGGACAGTGGCAGCATCCACCCTCACAGGGATGTGTGGATAAAAAACAATTTATGACAACAGCACAGAGCAGAGCTCAGTATGTAACAAGTGTCCACTGTAATTTTCAATCGGATTTAGTCAATTCAGACCCTTGAAGATAATCTGTGTAGTAAATAAACAAATTAAGAAATGAACTTTAAAAGGGAAAATTTGTCAAAATTAAATAGGATAAAAGTTCAAAAAAGAACCTAAACAGAAATGTCTATCCCTTTCTACTTTATCCAAAGTTGAAAAGAAAAAAAAAAAAAAAAAGAAGGATTCATTATATTAAGAAACAAAGGTGTCAACAAACAGAGGCAGGGCGGTGACAGCAGCCCAGCGCCACCGGCCGGACGGCGCCCACAGTACCTTGTGGTGTGGCTGAGCGCTGAGCAGCAGCGGCGGGACCATACTAACGGCTTCTTGGCGACTGATGTTTCCCTTAGAAAACAAAATGTTGCAAAATCAGCAACAACGTTCAAAAAGGCAGGAAATTTCAATACTGGAAATTGAAAATTTCAGATGCTACAGCAAAAAGCCATAGAGTCATACGCGGAACAAGAGTTAGCACTACCGCAAAAACAGTAATTAGGACAGGTTGTTATACTAGTGGGTAAGTGGTTGCTACCCGAAGGCCAAGTAAAAATGACCGTGAATACCACACTTACCACCAGGGTGTTAGAAACGCAGGGGTAACACTAAGTTTCATTGTTTTATAGAAGAAATCTTACACAAGAAAGGACTAAGCACACACAGTCCCAACTCCCTGCCTTCAGGACGTACGCAAGCCGGGTGAGCATGTCCCTAGGACACACTGCCACTGAAACACCCTCAACAGTGGAAGCAATCGAGGGGGGCACAGGACCAAGTCCCCGCTGGCGAGTTTTTCCCTCAGCTGAGCTTGTAACTCCTATTACTTAGTCCCCCGTTTTCAGGGACAGTCCACGCCTGCTTTCTAGTCCTCAGAACCGCCTCTCAGGAAGATGGGGAGACATCAGTCGTGCTCCCCTTTCCTTCTCAAAGATAAACTGTCTCCAATTCCTCACAAAATTCATCTGTGGACCAGGGCATGTGCTCAGCTGTTTGCTCAGACGTAGACAAAACGTCCTTGATGAAGTCCAGCACGTGCCTCAATCATAACTCTATTTAACAGCCTTAAGAATGAATGCTTTAAACTGGGGGCAGGGGGCCCCCCGGAGGCTCCTGCTCCTCTACAGCCGGGTCCTTGGCACCTGACTGCAGAACCTAAACCCCAGCTAGACACACCTGCTGATTTCCACCTGATGGTTTTTGAGCCAACAGTTAAGTGTGTGAAGACAGAACCCTGACCAACTCACTGGGCACACTGGTTCCAAGCTTTGGGTTATGCGTGTGATGCTGAGGGGCCTGCCTTCTGTTTTCATCCAAGTTTTCAATTAAGCATTGGGCTGCAATGGGGACATCGGGCCCTTGACTCCACACATGCTGGCAGTTAGTGCTGGTTCGTAAACACGTCCTGAAGAGGGTTTGCAGCCAGATATGAATGACCCAAAGAGTAACTCACCTGGCTGACTTCTGATCAAAAACTAGACTGGTTCCCTACAATATCCGACATGAAACTCTCATCTCCTCCATCTTTCGAAGCCACCAAAATCTGGCTCCTCACAACGTACCTCCCTGTGTATCACTCCACTCCCCATGAACCTCTGCTCTGTGAACCTGACTTGCTCTCTACCAGTTTGATCTTCATCTGACCTTGCATCTCGATTGAAGGTGAGTCCCGGAACTCTTCCTTGACTGGCCCAAGTACTGAACCAGGAATGTGGCAGCGCTCACTGTTTATTCCTAACTGTCGGGGTGGGGGTGGGAGGTGGACAGCCTGACAAACAGGAGCGCGGTTTACCAGGTTACCTAAATGGATAGAAGGCCGCAATGCGTGGCAAGAGCGAGCTGTGGGTCGAGGAGGTTAGAACTGGGTGAGGTGAAGGGTTTCTAACTCGGTTGTGGCTTCAGGGAGGAAACGTGGGAGACAGGTTAATTCTGCCACGTGGATACAGAAGACTGAAAAAGAATTATCATCTGTTGACACACAGGTTTCCTTGGCTAGAAGATTAGAAAATGGTAGGAACTTCTGATTTAAAATGTGAGACTATTAAGAATTCCAAAGAATGAAAAGGAAACAGCAAAGCTTACAACAGCCAAACTCCATGTATTATGCGAGAAAAAAGCTATTTTGTTGGTCAAAGTTTGATGCAAACAGTAAAAAGTTCAGCGATCATAATGATGAATGAGCCAGGATCTGGAACGGGAAGTAACCCTGAAGGTGAAGATGGTGCTGTTTTAGGAGAATCAAAGCCACCTCATTTAGGTGTTTTTTTGTATGTTTGTTTGTTTTCGCAAAGGTGAAATACAGAAACAAGAAAAAAAAATGATAAAAAGTGAGTTCAAAAGTCTCACTGTTAGGAAAGTAAGTAGCAGAGCCACAAAATCATTTACTTTCTCAGTCGGACGAGCAGCAGCATGGTGCACCTAAGAAAGTGAGAGTGAGCTGAGTGGCCATCTCCTGAATGACAGCCGATCGAGCAGGGTGCTGTGTGCGCCCCAGTTCTGCAGCCATGTAAACCCAGGAGCAGCCAGAAATACAGGCTGACACCTGTGATGATATCCTCCATTAAATTAATTAGTCCAGCCCAACAAGTAGCAGCTATATAAATAATCAGATTAAAGCTGGCATAGACACTTAAAGGTGCCTTTCCTTGGTCGCTCCCAGTGACAAACATGGTTAAAATATAACTACGATACTAACGTGCACTTAAAGCTTTAAGCAAATCAATAAATCTAAAGAACTCTACTTACAGATTCGGTTTCGCTAACCAGAAACTGGTGAAACTTTTCCAACTGCGGAGACTTTCGCAAGATTTTTCGACTTAAATTTGTGTGCCAGGCAAGTTCTTCAGGATACCTGACCAGAAAGAAAGACATCTATGGATCATATACATCAAAGTGCTCTCTTAACAACTTCTTGCTGATCCAGGTCATACACCAAACGACACCGATTTTGGTCTACTTGTTCATCCACGACCCTCGCTAGTCCAGTCAGCCAACACTGCAGGATGTCCCTGGGACGTACGCAGCGTGATTGCACTGTTTCGTGGCCCAGGCAGAAACAGGAGAGCCTGGGGGGTCACAGGAGACACACGCGCATGGTATCACTGTAAAACCATGATGTGGAGTGCTCAAGAGACAAAGAAAAAGTGGACGCTCCTCTGCTCTTCACTATGGATGGTCAGTTAACAATGCTATAGAGGTCATCGAAAAAAAGACGTAAGAACAAATTTCTCAAAGTTCAAGTGCAGATCACATGGAATCAAAATGTGGTAGGGCAGGTATCAGACTGTTTTACAAATATATACCAATCTTACTATAGTTTTCATTATTTCTAAAACAAGCCAGTTCAATAATGTACTGAAATGTTTTATATATCAAAAGCCCTTGGAAACCACCAATACATTAATTTGAGGCTCCTACGCTATTATTTATACAGACCTAAGAATGAAGCATCTTCTGCCATTTCTGTGACTGTATTTCAACTTGCTATAAATGATGACATCACTGGTCAGGAAACACGTGGTGTTTTTTTAAACTTGGCTTGCTCCCGACCACCAATCTCCAATTGCATGGGTCAGTACACTGATATGACACATAGAGCCATGCTCAATTAACCCAATGCCTAGCTAAGCATAACATGGCACTCGGTGATAAAATCTTACTTCAGTTTTAGCAGCTGTTATAAAGTCTTGGGTGTTATAATAAGCTCAATGTAACAATGCAAGGCCACAATGTTTCCATGTGTCCAATTGTAACTAAGGTAATAGCCATGAAAAGGAAACCAGAAAGTGTGGAATATGATACATTTGACTGCTCTGAAAACTTTTGAGTGATTAACTGACAGAAACAACCTCAGGTGTTAAGATTTTAAGACACTGCTTAACAGGCATGACACTAGTTACATTTGACTCTACCAAACGACAAAGGCTAAACTAGCTGAATCTGTTCACAGTCACCCTCCAAATATACCAAGCGCTTTGGTTCTATTTCCTATGCCTGGCTGCTTCTTCAATATTTCACCTGTTTCAAAAATACAGACGGTGCCAAAAAAAAAAAATATATATATATATACATACACATTCTAAGAAAGGAAAATTATTAAAATTGTAATAGTCTATACCAATAACAAAACATGAGTACAAGTCATGTTTGACTTCTGCAATTACAAGAGGTGATCAGAGTGGTTACCATCAGCGTCCAGACACTTCTGATTACAGCGAACTACTGCTTCAGCAACACTGACCAGTGTCCGCTTGTATACATTTATTTGGCATCCCCGGTATAAAAACAAAATACAATCATATTTACCAGGCAATTAAGACTTTAGTTTTACATACTCCCTTTGGCCGAATTACAGGTGAAATGGTAGGGATACACTCAAATGTGGCTTTGTTATTATTCCTCAAAATCTGCCGTCCCCTTGCAACCTTTACCAGGTTGAATAGCTAAACACCTAGTTTTATATAATTCTGGCAACTCTGAGTTGCCTGTGATTAATGACAGATAATCATGTAAATTACAACCTTTCCAAATCACCGACATCATTAATTTGAATTCTGCACGCCATTACTGATTACAAGTATCTTAATTTTCATTTTCATATCCACATAAGCAATCTAAATAGATCTTGAGGGAATATTTCCCTACGTGCCTTAAGAGTTAATTTCTAATAGCTAAAATGGAAATTTATTATAACAAAACTAAAATTCCACCTAAGTAATTAACGTCTTGTAAGCTATCAATCTTAGGAAAATATATACTTAAGAACTTTCAGATAATTAAATACAAAACAGGCTGGCTGTTAAAATGAATTTAAAAATGTTTCTTATATAGCTTTAGAACAACTTTTTTGAACAAATGTTTATTAAAATCTTTGTAGATTTTTAATATCAAACAAAATAATCTCAAAGAACTATTTGGAAACTTTGAGGATCAATTAAAACCACCACTGACACCTTTATACCTCAAAAATTCTTAAGGGAAAATAAATCTCTGTAAATATATACATCTATGATAAATCATCTTCAATCCAGACATTGAAAAAAACAAAGAGAATGACAATAAGGTGTTCTCTACAAACGACCCTCAAAGCAAGACTTTTTTAAGAACACTTTGGGATAATTTAACAGTTCTGAGTCGATGAAAAGGAAAAAGTGAAATCTGTCCAAGCTTTAAGTCCTATACTTACTATTCCTTCTAGAAAACAGGGTTCCCACAAACACCTTCCTGAATTTTATTCCACTATGTACCAAAAGATTAAGAATAACATAGGATCTATTTCTGCATTTTGAGCAATACAGAAATCCATCAGACATCTTGGTCAAGTTTCCGCTTTACTTGCTTGCTGAGAGATTCATGGGTATCCCACACCTAATAAATGTATTCGATTGACTGTTTATACAATAAAACGTTTATGCAGCTGTCACTGATGATGGAAAAAGCTGAGTATTAGGAACCCGAATCATACAATACGCTGTTCACACCCTCCTGGTTTCCGTTGTATGTTCAGAAAGTTAAAGCAAACACTAATGTGAAGAGAATGACTGGTGATTCACTTTTATTCTTTAACCACAGACAACTTCAGCTGAATACTGATCTTAGCACCTGGCCATTCATGATTCATTCACTACGCTGCACACATTTGTGATATGGATACTGAAAATCCAAATGGCCAACAAAAGAAAAGGTGGAAAACTATAGCCCACAATTACTGAAAACCTGACCCCGGTTTGCAATCACTAAAGGGTATCCAAAAAAAAATCCTGTGATACTTAAATAATCAGAAACCTCCAAAAGTTGTCAGAAAATGCTGGTTAAAGTCACCTTTTTATATCAATCATTTAAAATAGTTATATTTGGTTTTGTGAGAACTTTCAATGCCTCAAAAAGTTGATCATCTGAAATGTGGAACTGTAACAATTTAATGACTTCCCAGGGCTGGCCTCTACAGTTTGTGCTTGAGCCTCTAAGGCATTTTACAAGACAGGCTACGCTGTCGAAAGAAGGGATTGTCTTCAGACAAGAGAAACAAGTGCGCATGGAGGGCAGGAGTCCGCCTGGGCGCTGGAGACAGTGGAAAGGCAGAATCGGCGGGAACCATCTTGGTGAACCTTTGTCAGCTCGGCTGTCATTTTTCTGACAGTAGGAGAAGCCGCTCTGCAAGTTCTGACATGAGAAAACAAGGGGTGTAAATGGAAGCGGTGGAAGTGGTACTGTAACGTCAAGGAAAAGAAAGAGGATGGATCGACTGGGAAAAACTCAGTGACTCAACTACAGAGAGCCGCAAAGCATACCTGCGCACGTTCACACCAGTGTAAAAGGGGTATCAGTAAAAAGTCTGGAATTATATTCGGGTTCTTTCGTGTTAATAGCAAACACATTAGCAAGAATTACACTCGAGTGACCAAGATTAAAATCCCAAGGACACACCCAACAGCATGGAGTCTCGTGGTACCTACCAACTCAGGGGCTGTGGGACTTCAACTTTCTGACCGTCCACCTCCAGGTCCTCCAGTTCCTTGAAATACTTGTTCTTCAAGCAATGGAGAATCTCTTTGGCGTGGCTATTAACAAACAAGCAAGTTTCAAACCACCTGTGCATGGAGCGAAGGCATTCTTGAACGGCTGCCTTTTGAACTCCTTCGAAATTTAAACAAACCTCGCTGTTTAATCGCTAAAGGGCGACACACTAATTGCAACACTCCTGCATCTCTTCCCTCCTAAATATTCCTACAGTTCCGCTTTTACTTGCAACTCATCTTGGAAAGGTACGACTACAAACATTTAAAAAGAGAGAAAAGACTAGAAGCTTTACAAAAACTCCATAGTGCCGCAAATTCTCACGTGTGCCAAGGGGTGGGCTTCCTGGGCTCCCCAATACCCAGGGGTCCGCTTGCACGTTCAGCCCGGGCCCCAGCCTCCCGTCTCCCCGGGCCTCCCCCGGATCCACGCCGCGGACACGCAGCAGCTCTCTGGCACGGTCACTTCTGCGGGGGGGGGGGCGGGGGCGGGAAACACCCGCGTTTTCTAACTTTAACCTTGGGCATCCCAATCCCAGCTCTCTGGGAAGTGACGGCGCGGCGCCTACCTTTTGTAACCAGTGATTCTCAAAGTGGCCGGGAGCGGCTCCCTGAGCGCTTCCATGAACTGGTCCCACTCGCCCTCGGGCACGATCTTGAGCTCCTGGTAGAAGTGCTCGAAGAGCTTGTTCTCCTTCACGATCTCGGGGTACCCGCCTTCCCAGCCCTGAGGGACGAAAGGGGCATCTACCCAGGGCCCGAGGGACCGGCCCTCACCACCCCTCGGGCCTCGGGGTAGGGGAGGCCACGCGGGGCCCCCGCCCACCTCGTCGGGGCTCTTACCGCGTCATTGCGCTTCCCGCCGCCTCTGGCGCCGTCCTCCGCTCCCTCTGGCCGCTGCTGCTGCTGCTGCCGCTGGAGCCGCCGGCCCCGCGACCGCCGCCCCATGGTCCACGCGGCCACGCACGCCGCCCGCACACACCGACCCGCCACCGCCGGCCGCGCGCACTTCCGGGCTGTAGCTCGAGGCCCCGGCGGGTCTGCGCCTGCGCCTCTCCCGGGCCTGCGGGGACCTTCAACAAGTAAGCCCAAAACGCCGTGACCCGTACTCCCCAAAAGCAGCGAGCGAGGGGACCCGCTGACAGCCTGAGTGGGAAAGTGAGCAGCCCCAAAAGCGTGTGGGCGCCGAGCCTCCGGGTTTCCCACGCGACCTCAGGCAGCAATGCGGCCAGCCCGAAGTTGCGCGTGCGCACAGCGCCGAGGACGCGGAGGGCCTGGGGGCGGGGCTCCGGCCGCGGGGATGGGGCGGGGCGGCCTGCAGGTCCGCCTCCAGCCCCGCCCCCAGCGCCCCGCGCGCACGCCGGTGACTGGCTCAACCCGCGGAAGCGGCGCACCCGCCGCCTGGGAACCGCTGTAAGCGTGCGGATCGCAGCTCGGGCGTCGGCGGTCGGCCCCTGCTTCAGGTAACCGCGCCTCCCGCCCCCTCGCCGCCACCCTATATGTGGCCCGCTGCGGCCGCCGGGCCATGGAGCGCGCCCGCCGTCCTGCGCGATGGAGCTGGCTGAGCGGTTCCTGTTGGACGCGCTCGCCTACCTGGAGTGCGCCCTCGGCTTCCTATGCTTCGCGCTGCTCACGCTGTTCGGCTCGCCCTACGGGCGCTACGCGACGCAGCCCTCCGCCTGGCAGCTGACGGCGCCCACCGCCTGGGCCGTACAGGAGCTGCCCTCGCTGGCTGTGCCGCTCATCGTGTGCGTCGCCACGGCTGCCGAGCGCCTCCGCCGCTGGCCCAACCGCATCCTCCTAGCCATGTTTATCGTCCACTACATACAACGGTAACGGCCGGCGCCCCCGGCCCGGCTCCCTCTGCCGGCGTCCCCCCCAGCTCGCGGCCCTCGCCAGTGCACCTGGCTCCCTCTCCCAGAGCCCTTCTTGCCCCTTCCTCCTACCCAGTGCCTTCTTCCCGTAGCCCCCTCTCCCTCTGCTACCCCTGGTGTGCTCTGTGCTCCACCCCACCCCGGCACCCTCTCCCTGCGGGACCCCCCACCTCCCAGTCCCTGGCGTCCTCTCACTACACCCTGGACACGTCCCTCTGTCCCCTGGCGCAGAGAGTTAAGATTATAAACAAACATTAGCCTGGAAAAGTGAGGGAGACTTTAGAGAATGTAAAAGGGGTGATAGAAAAGGTTTGGGGTTTGGTTTGGTTTTGTTTGTAAAACTTGGACCTAGAAAGTGTTAGCCATACAATAATCCTGGGCTTTGTTCAAGATCAAAGTGTCCTTGGCTAAAGGTAAGCCACCTAAGCCATCATATCTGCCTCCTCTTCTACCGTTTCCGCTTGGGTGTCTTTATTGTGGGTGGGGCTGTTTTCTCCCGGCCAGCTGATCACCTGGAAGGCTGCTTTCCTAAAAGAAATTTGTGATTCCTCCTTCGTAATACTCATGGGCAAAAATCGGTCGCTTCTGGGGCCCTCACCTGCACATTATGCAGGGAGCCCAGGATTGTGAGTGTGGCTTTCCAAGCCATGACTTTGAACACATCTAAAGTCTTAAAGATGACTTCCAAATTTTTGGGTTTTTTGTGAAGAATTTTAAATGGCTGTGTCTGGTATCTTCAGGTTCTTTTGATAAATTGGGGCTCCCTCCAGCTCATAAGGCTTTGGCTTCTGCATAGCTAACCCAAATGGCTGAACAAAAGCAGGAAATCAAAATTTTCCAAGGCTGCACAGTTCAAAAGGATGGTCTCTGCAACCTGGAGAGCTGGGTTCACGTATTCTGTGAATGTGGGCAGGTTGCTGGACCGCCCTGATTCTGAGTCCCACCTTACATCACCCACTGCATAGAGAGGTAGGAAGAAGTACGCCTGAGTGCATTTGTGTGTGTCTGCCTGTTCGTCTGAAGCCTCTCCTCAGTGCCGTTATCAGGATGTGGGAGGCCTGGGTGCAGTGTGTCCTCATCCGCTTTTATGCAAGTAATTGAAACAGGCCGAGTCAGTGTTCCTCAGAGGTCCTGAGCCCTGTGCTCTGGACACGCCTTGAGCGTTCCATGAAGCAAAGTTGATGTCAGATTGCTAGATTTTCTTCTTAAATGTGATTGAGCATGACTGCAATTTCAATATCAGTAGACCCCTCCTGTCTGTATACACTTCTCCATACATATACCAGGCCCTGTGTCTGTCTGTCTCTCTAGTGACTAAAAGCAAGCTCTGGAGTCCGATTGCCAGGTGTTATCTCAGCCTCATCACTGAGCACCTGAGATAAGTTACGAAGCTGCTCTGCAGGCACATCTGTGAAACAGGCACAGTGATGGTGCCAGCCTGTGGGATTGGCAGTAAACAAAGGCAACTCCATGCAGTGCTTGCACAGTATTGGCAAACCTGTGTGCTCAATACATGATAAATAATACCGTTTTGTGTGTCCACGTACATCCTCTGTGTCATTCATGTACGCTGCTGCAGCCTTGAGTGGTGATAAACAATTTCGAAGATGTAGCATTGGAAATTAAGGGAGCACTTTACAGAGTTTTGTCTGAAAGCCTGGAGCAGAAGCTTTTGAACTGAAGGCATCGTGTTTGTTTCTAGGTCACTGTAGTGGAAGAATCAGAGTGAATGCAGCCTCCCAAAGGGCCGAAGTCACCCCTCGAGTGGTAGAGCTTGAACAGATCGTCATATACAGACGGGGATGTAGACACAGCATTCGGGGGTTTTATGCGAGGCCCAAGGGTTGCTGGGATGACAGCGCCTGGTGCCTAGACCAGTGGCTGTAGAAACTGCCCCAGAGGCTTTGCTGGGTCGGGTGTAGTTTTTTAAACCCTGGGCTATTTTTTTTTTTTAATAAACCCTGGGCTATTTTTATTTTTTTTAAGTCGCAGATGTTACCGTACACATAGCCAGTGTGCTTTGGGGACATTGAAGTTTTCCAAATAGAAAAGATAAACATTTTCCATTCTACCCAAGCAACTAATTTATTAAACGGTCATCTGACCTAAGTGAGGTGAGCACTTGGAAGACAGCAGAAATGCCAGTAGCATTAGCACTTGTTAGAGGCCACGCAGCGAGCTGGGAGGCGTTTCTAGAGTCCCTCATGTGTCCAGGGCACTGCAGGTGACACAGGAGCCCAAACGGGACAGGTGACAGGAGAAGCATGCGCCATGCTCCGGGGATGCCGACCAGGCGGAGCGGGAGGCAGCGCACAGAGCTCCACAGGTGTCTGCAAACCCTGCGCTGGGCGCTGAGGAGAGGGGCCGGGCCCTTCTCTAGGCGAGTTGTAGCCTCTTGAGGGACAGGTGAGGACTGAAGCCAGATGCAGGGACTTCCCAGGGTCAGTGGGAAGGGTATTTGCTTGTAGGATACGGGGAACCTGGGCGTTCGTGTGTATTCGTCCCACAAACGTTTCCTGAGGATTGATTCATGTACCTGCGCTGCACTCACAACGGGGTACAGCGACAAGATATGCTCTTAGGAGTCAAGTTGTAAGACGGATTGTGGGGAATCTGCAGGGCTTTTTGGCAGAAGAGCAAGGAGAGAGGGAGGCCTGAGAAGGGGAAGAGGGGACAGCTGTGGGAGAGACACACCAGACCCTGCCCAGTTCCTGGTGGATGGCGAAGGACATTTGTGGGAATGTTGTTAATCCATGACAAGCAACTAAGTCCCACTGGAGCACACGGTGTCACCATCTATACCATGACTAGCGGGGGGCCACAGATGGGGGGCATTGAATGGCCCCCGGATTGCAGACTTTGAAAAACCCAACAGGCCTCCTCTTCCTAACACCTGTCACAAGGCCTGGCTCAGCCAATGGGTGACCCGGCAGGACGTGGATTCTGTCATTATCCCGGATGAAGATGCTTCAGAGAACCTCACCTGCTTCAGGTGCTTTGTGTCCCATGCTCGGTTTAGTGCTGCAGATTTCAGTGACCTCAAATTGTTGAGAAAAAAGTCATAAGGTCAGTTATTAAAATTCACAACTACGCTCAGTTGTCAATACTTAAAAGCAATTACATCTGCTATTATCAAAATTACTCCCAAATTATCAAATTAGATATTTCATTGTCCCCAAACCTGGGAATGAGACGTTGTAGGTTGTCCTAGGAGGTGATGTCCGGTTGCTTTTATTTTGAGAGTTAAATCATTGCTCCTTGAATGCCCTATTTGTCACTGCAAGAAACCTGGGGGGTTAATATTTCAGTTTGTAGAAAAACAAGTTAAGAGATAATTCTTGTAGTTTACTGTGGGATTTAAGCAGGCATGGAACATGAAATCTGACTTTAAATGTTTAAAGAATAGTTATTATCAGCGGTTGGCTGCATTTTGACCTCTGAAGGGCATGTCTTTCCCCTTTGAGCAGATCACCTCTAGCAGGTGGGCACAGTGGTTGTCCGCCAGCTCGGTGGCTTCATACAGGCAATAATCTACTGCCTAGGAGGGAGGGATCGCAGCTCAGAGCTCCAGGTACCTAGTGCGAATGGACACATAGGCCAGCTTGGTAACTCTTGTTCTTTTTGGTGACTCATTTTTCTTCGTGGATGCTTATATGATACTTTTTTCCCCCTTAAAATTCAGAAAATTCCCCACAGATACTGTGTGTTTGCTTGTTTATTAATTTTGCCTGATTCTCTCTGAGCCCTTCCAATAAGCAACGTCAGGCCTTCAGCCCCAGAAATCTCATTTCTCCATCATGGTCACCTGGTCTGTTCTGAATGTCATAGGTACCAGGACTTAAAATACTTGTCGACAGTACATGCAAACAAGCCTGCAGTTGAAGTACAGGCTCGTTGTAGAAAACTTAGAAAACGCACAAAAATTCGGGGAAGAAAATAAAAATCACGTGTACTTCTATCACTTAGAGATAATACTGATGATATTTTGGTGTATCTCATTCCCACCTCTTTCACTGTTCTCAATAACTTTTTGATCATTTTGTTTCTAAGCAGTAAGGATACATACACACACACACACACACACACACACACACACTCACTCCTGTATCCCACTTTTGTCACTTAATATAATATTTTTCTGGCTTAGTTCCTACATGTAATAAAAAGGACTTCTGACGACTATTTAATATGCCATGGAGTGATAGGCAGTGCCAGCCCAGCCCCCGTCCTACTCCTCACCCAGTCCTCGAGATGTGGTGGACGATACACCTGGATAGGTGACCTTGCCTTCAAGCCACCATTTCCAAGCGTCTGTCTCCATTGCCCAAGCTACCATATTCCTCTGAGCCTCCAGGTCCTAATCTGTTACATGGGATGATAGTAACAGTTTTGAATGTCACAACAATCCATGTTGTTCAGGATGAGCAATTATTAGAAACATTTTGATAAGGAGCTATAAGAAGCACTTTCAGGCCTTGCCTAACCTCGTGAACACGCCCAAAGGAGACAGGCGGCAGGCTGCCCTTGGCCGTAGTAGGTCCCCAGGGATTCAGGCTTCGCAAAGCCTTTGGTTCACCCCGTCATCAAACCTGCCCCACATTTACCGTTACCTTGCAGACACAAAGAGTGTAAGTTTCCACAGGGAACGAAAACCACTTGGTGAAAAGTAAATCTGTTTGTCTACGTGGAACAGAAAGAAAATAAAGTGGGAAGATTGTGGATTTTCAACCCCACCCCCACTCTGATGAGCCACTCGGAATGGCTTTGGAGCTCTTGGGACCTGACTCGTTGGCATCCTTCAGCTCATTGGCAACAGAAAGTGGATTTATAACACACTACCGAAATAAAGTATTTTTAAGTCCAAGTGCCTCATAGTTACTCTTAAAGATGATTTCCATGTAAAGGGGTTTTCAACTTCTGACTTAATTCCCTTTCTCAAAGGCGGGTAATACGCATTT